TCATGATGTCAATCCATGTTCCTAGTATTCTACTCACACTGACAGTAACAAAGGTACTTTCTGGAGTGTTGGAAAGCATGGCAGTAAGAAACGTTCTTCCTGGATTTGGGCAGTAACCCATTTGAGCTCCCACCTGTATGTACTATAATTACAGTGATGGGGTAGCTCATCGCTCTTTCATCTACATGGAATTCCTACCCCTGGGTCTGAACCCGGCGTGACCTCCAAATGTCGGCGGTGTCAATGCCGCATCATGCATCATTTCGGGAACCATCTGGATTGTAGAATCAATGGCTCCAACATCAGATAGCTGGAGAGCCTGGCTGCCGTCACTCCTCTACTTAATCTGATTGTCGGTCCATCGCGGGGAATTGGACAAGCTGCACCACTGATGGAGAGATCTGTGTGCTGGGAGCCGGCCAGGCCGCCCAAATTAATCTTCTTGTCGCGGGGCTCGAAATACTGGGTGCACGTGCACCTTTTTAAAAATTTTTTAAATTCATTTTAACGCAAACATTCACATAGACATAGAGCCTCCCTAATTGACCATAAGCATTAAATGGCTACTACATAAAGTACATGAGCGTTTAATGACTAATACATAAAGTGATATCTATAAATAAGCCTTACAGAAAGTACCCCACTAGTGAAAGTACACCTTAGTGCACCCAAAATTGGAGTTGTGCACCTAAGTATTGTCTTAGATTTAATGTATGTGAAGATGTCAAATGTATGGTAGTTACAGCATATTCTTAAGTGTCAGAAAAATAATACAGTCATTGTTATAGTGCACCTAAAATATTTTTTGTGCACCCAATTTTTTAAGTTGTGTGCACCAGTGCACCTATTCCCAAAAATGAATTTCGAGCCCTGCGTCGTGATGCTCAACTTTCTGGCACCGAATATCGACGTCTTCCCGATAGGTACAGGCGTGAGGAAGATTCGGCACAAACGCTTTCAATGGAAAGTGTAAAAATGCACTAAAATCATCGCGACGAAGCACTTTTCAGGACTGCACATCTTATCAGCAACCCAACACACCTATATTCTAATACAGCTGATGCCACTGTTTTATTTTCTCTTGTGATGACTGTGCATGCATCGGATGAAAGGCAAGGCACCATTTCAGACCCCAGAGAACTGTGGGCATGTTTTTATTTTATTCTTTTTTTATGACGATTTACCACATTTGTGGAAGGATTGACATAACAGGTGACTATCACCTCTTCAAAGATGTCAACCCCGAGACCAGACTGTAAGGTTTGAACCACTCACACCGGGAAGGTCTCCTACTCTTTTCGATAAGTGCGGTGGGTTCTTTAACGTGCGTGGCGTGTGGCTCTCCCAAACACGGGACCTCCATTTAATGTCCTATCCGAGGGACGTCCCTAACCGAAGCTAGGTACTCATTTACACCTGAGTGAAGTGAGGAAATTCGTGTTAAGTGCCTTTCCCAAGGGCACAAGATCGGTGACATGGGCAGGGTTTGAACCCACGACCTCTGGGGTGTGAGCCGAACGCGCTACCGACTGCGCCACACAACCCCACGAATTAGATGTTAGAAGAATGTTATTAGAAGCCTCTATCTACCGATCTAACTGAAGCTAGTACAACTTTAGTGCATTATGCTGCCCATAGCAGCAAGGACTGAAGTAAAATTAATCTCAATAAAGTCAACACTTCATGTAATTTAGACAACTGTGGTCATGTTATAAGAAGCTTCTCTCTACTGATCTGACTGTAGTAAAGACTTGACTGCATGATGAGCCCATAGCAGGAAGGACAGAGGTAAAATTCATCTCAAAAAGTCAACACTTCATGACATACATGTGTTCAGTCAACTGTGGTCATGTTATTAGAAGCCTCACTCTACTGACCTAACTGAACCTAGTACAGCTTCACTGCATGATGAGCCCATAGCAAGAAGGAGAGATGTAAAATTCATCTCAATAAAGTTAGAGGTTTGTGTAATTTAGCCATATTCAGACAAATGTTTTTAGGAGCTGAACCTACCAAAGCCAGCTCAACCTTGGATCATGATGAGTCCATAGCAAGAAGGCGAGATGTAAAAATTCATCTCAATCAAGTCAACACTTCATCTAATTCAGACATCTTCCGTGCTCCCAGTGACGCTGAATTTCCCCAGAAGATGAAGTCGTATTTTCCATGAATCTCATTGACCTTCCATGACCAATCGAGCCCTGACCTGTTCAGCTCACAAGTTTGCCTCCTACCCAGGACTTTCCCCATGTAGTGACCTTCCGTACTTTTATATTGCACCCTGATTATGAAGTTTGCTCCTACCCAGGACTTTTCCCATCACGGAAGGTGGAGGAGAACAATACAGAGGGACCTTAAAGAGAGGGACTGACTCTGGACACAGCCCCGGACGCAGCTGCAGATAGGGCCAGATGGAAATTCTTCCTGTCGCCTCAAGAACCACTAGGTTCAGAAGAGGATTGAGTGAGTGAGTGAGTGAGTGAGTGAGTGAGTGAGTGAGTGAGTGAGTGAGTGAGTGAGTGAGTGAGTGAGTGAGTGAGTGAGTGAGTGAGTGAGTGAGTGAGTGAGTGAGTGAGTGAGTGAGTGACCTTCCATACTTTTATACTGCACCCTGATTTGGAAGTTTGCTCCTACCCAGGACTTTCCCCATGTAGTGACCTTGCGTACTTTTATATTGCACCCTGATTACAAAGTTTGCTCCTACCCAGGACTTTTCCCATGTAGTGACCTTGCGTACATTTCTACTGCACCCTGATTACGAAGTTTGCTCCTACCCAGGACTTTTCCCATGTAGTGACCTTGCGTACTTTTCTACTGCACCCTGATTACGAAGTTTGCTCCTATCCAGACCTTTCCCCATGTAGTGACCTTGCGTACTTTTCTACTGCACCCTGATTACGGCTGCCTTTTCCCGACCTTTCAGTGATAATGACGGAGCATCTCCCCAGGAGCAGCGGTCTGTAATCGCGCAAAAATCCATCCTCGTCAAATTACACGGCAGCGGGGCAGACCCCCTGCCTGCCATCCAGGAGGAAGTGCACCAGATGAGCATCTTCCTGCAGGCTGTGAGGCCTTGGAAAAAACTGTTGTGTTTCCTGTTTCCCGACCGACCCTAGAAAAAACTGCTGACCCTGGCCTTTTTTTTGTATGGAATCCTGGAAGGGACATAAATTTTTAGAGCTAAATCTGCCTTTTCTAGCTTCATGACCTGACACCTGAGTGTTGAAACGTTGTACAAGTCAAGTCAAGTCAAGTCAAAGCCTTTATTTTCCTTCGAATGCTTGATCGGCGCAAGGCCGCTTTTCAACAAGGTCGAAGTTGAGGGGAGGGGTCACGGATAAGAACCAAATCCATACAAACATAAATAATAAGTAATTAAATCAATACAAAAAGTACAATGGGTTTTCCAACATTGACATTGAAGATATCGTCGTCATGCAGGTTTTACTTTGTTATACTGCATTGTATAAGTTGGATCACAAGTAGGATCACTAGAGATTGTCAAAGCCTAATAAAAAAAAAGAAAGAAAAAAAAAAGCTAATCCCTACCTACCGAGACTAGTTTTTTCAGGACTGAAACAGGAAACAAAGCATTTTTTTCCTAGGCCTGATAACTATGCAGGGGAAGTCAGCCTGGCCAGGGGTCCCCCCCATCATGTGAGCTGCTCAAATGGGCTGATGGTCAAACCGTGTAGCCTTAAATAGGATTTCAGTGTTTCTCCTGCTAAGCGAAAACTTAAAAGCAGCATTCCAAAAACACTGCACGCTGGAAAAATGTTCAAAGCTTCAAACTGAAAAGCAAACACATGAGGGAGCCACTCTATCTCCAATCTCTTTATAAGATTACATTAGGCCATACCAATTTAATTTCTTGGTTAACGGATTTTTCTGGAAAAATAATGGAGCGGGAGGGCGAAAAAAATAAAAATAGGCCTAGGCATCCTATTATGGCCCAAAATATTATAGACTGGTTTATTTGCAGAAACACATACTTCATACATACATAGTACAGTAGGTTAGAAGCTTTTTTGCAGCCAAAGGCTGAATTGAGAAGCTTTTACAAATTTTTAAAAAATTACATGACTAATACGTAAAATATATACATAAAAAGTGCCTTGAGAGGCATTAAACACCACTTATACGCTAGAATAATACACATTTATGCTAAAATTACATCATACAACTTCTGTTGGCAAATTACTTAGGTACAACTGACAATAATAAAAAAGTACAATTACATCATGTGCAACAACATAAAATGAAATCTACTGTATGGCAAGGTTATTCAGTATGTTCAGCATTGTGGGGACAGGACTGCATAAATATCTTTTTGTCCCAATGGGTGGTTTGTAGCGCCGTGTTTGCCTTAGCTGCATGTTGTGTGAGTGGTTACTAACTGGGGGTAGCCAGGGGGCGTGCCTAGACCTAGTGGCTGAAAGGGCAAAGGCCCGGCACAGGGTCAGTCTCCGTTCAGACAGACGTTGGAGGTCAAGAGTTGACAGGGCCTCGGAATATGAGTGATAGCTTCTACCCAGCATGATTCTGCATGCCCTTTTCTGGATTCTTTCTATGCTGTCAGATTGTTTTTTTGTGATACCCGCATTCCAACAGGGCGTGGCATATTCAACTATTGGTCGAATATACCCACAATACACTGTGACAAGGTCAGAGCTTGGGAGGCCAGCTCGACGCAGCCTACTTAATGGTACAATTATATAGGAGCCATGAAGTCAACACACCAGGCTGGTTCAAAATTTAAACAATGAATTTTCTAACTTTTAATGATACCATTGCATTGAAAGATGGAATAACTGTAACAACTAGGATGAAAAGGACTGTTTTCAACTGTTCAGAGCAAAATATGAGCATTTTGCAGATGATTTGCAAATCAGAAAAAAACGAAGCGGGCGAATCCGTTAACCAAGAAATTATATTGGTGTGGCCTTACATATCTATGTCACCTATTTCTAAGTAAGTCAAGTTAATGGAACGTAAACTGTTCATAGCTTCAACTGAAAAGCAAACATATGAAAAAGTCAACCTTTTCTTGAACCTAGTTGTCATACATAGTATACAGATCTATGTAACTTGTTTGTCAAGAGCAGCTACCATGGAA